TGGGCTGTCAGGGGACAAGGGAGGTTCCATCTACTTTGACACCCTATCAACACATGGACATAGGAATGACTTTCCAGAGAATTCCGTTTAGCCTATAGTGTCTTATATGTCCTCTTTTAACTGCTCCAGTCCAGAGATTAAAAACAACAAAAACTAGAAACAGCTTTAAATCAAAAGTTATGATGACTTTATTTTAAATCTTAATACACCAAAAATATTTTTTTTTTAATGTTGTGAAATAAGCACTTGAAAATAAGAATTCCAACATTGCTGTGAGGCTCGATAATGAGTTTCCCTCGGAATATGGGTTTAGGGCCTAGGAAGCAGAAAGCCAACCATTTTTAGGGTAGCAGGGAGTGACATTTCCAGCCCGATGACACTCAGACCCATGCTTAACCCACGCTTAACCCACACCTAACTGAAACAACACATTAGTGAGGCGCTATCAAGGTACAGCCTGAACTTTGTCTGCCACCAAGTATCTGGGAAACACTGTTTAGGTGCCAGTGAGAGACAGGTCTGTTCTGATGTGTCCCAACTGGGTTACACATGTGGTTGCATCTTGATCTGGGGACCAGTTAGCAAGCTCCGGCAGGAGAACTTGACTACAATGCAGTTGTTCTGTGGGTGGGTGTCAGCATCTGGGGAGTGACAGAGAAACATCTGAGTTTGGCTTTGTTTGACCTGCAATCACAGTAGTTTTCTAAGAATTCCCCCAAACACCCAGATGACACCCTCTGCATCCATCACAACAACTTTAAGAATGTGGAAAAATGGAAGCCTGGTATTGAACCCCAACTCTTCAGAGTATCCGAGGATGAAAGAGTACTGGGTTATATACACAAGAGGCTTCTTGGTATTCTGTGGTACCGGAGTGGGCGTACTTTAACTGGTCTTTTCAGCCGTGAATTCACCTATGGCTCATCCATCTGTCTCAACAGGCACTGAGAATTCTGCACAGGCACCAACATCTATTTTGTGTCACTCACAGGTACAGAGGACTTTGGCTCAATGACCAACTCGGACGCAGTGTCTGAACAGAACAGGGCATCCTTGTCTTATTGGGTGTCACTTTAATAAGCAGAAGTGACAGAATGTATACTGTGAATTCTCACCCAAATCACTTTCTGACGGCCGGGACCTCAGACACCCGGCAACGGGCGCTATACTTTAGAGAGGGACAGAAGAACATTAAGACAATGATTCACACCACCACAGGCTCTACAATTGTCCCAAACTGATAGCAGAAGATTTATTATCAAAACAAAGACTGGAAAAAGACACACATTTGAAGGCTAGAAAGCTCTGGGCTATCATCAGGATATTCTCAGACTGTTGCTCTCCAGGACTGCTCTCCCAGGGAAATGCGCCTGCCTCCACGAGGATCCTGCACTTGCAGTTCAAAGCTCAGCCGAACTCCAGGGGTGGAGTCTAATTTGTTCTGCTCCATTCTCCTAGAAACTCCCTTGAGACTTGCCCAGTCCTGTGCTAGTCCAAGGATCATTACATCTCCCCGGAAAAGGCTCTCAGCATGTCCTAGGGCTCACTTGAGTCTGTGTCTGGCAGCCTCGTGGATGAAGAGCCCCTTCTATCAGAACAAGATAGTCACAGGATAGTCCCAGGTAACTGAGCAGATTGGGAATACAGCCAGACTTCTGGAACATTCTAGCCCAGTGTCATACTGCTTTTCACCGAAATGTAACTGACTTAAAACAGACAATCACAAAACATTATGTGGGTATCCTCCCTGGGAAGAGATCTCCTAGGCCCCTGTAGACTTTCTACCACATGAAGCTTCGGCATGAGCTAGTGATCAGTTGGTCTCATCATATAAATGAAGACCGCTAGAGACAAAACTAACCTACTTCCTCCTGAAGCAATGCCCCCTAGCCTCAAATTTCTGCTATGAAGTAGGATTAGAAAAAAATTGGGGTGGGGGTGAATGGAGGGGATGACAGGGGGCTGCCTGAAATAATAACCTTGAGAACTGTGATTTTTAATTCAATACTTTGGCCTGGCATCAGATATAAATACAATAAATACATAACAGTAATAGTTGTTCTGTTCTTGTAAGTGGTGCTAGAAGGTCCAGATAAAAATCCCCTACCGTGAAAGAAGTGTTTCTCACTAGAATTTCATTGCAAACTCACACATTTGAGTTGATGCTCAGACCTAGTGAAGGAAACTGCATTTACACGAAACCAAGGATTTGTTTTCATTTAAACCAGGAATAATGTTTGTAACCACACTGGGATTGGAATGCAGTGAGAAATCTTCAATAGAAAGATCATCTATTGCAGCATAGTGGGGCAGCTAAAAACTTGGCTTGCCCAGAATGTTAACTGACAGCAATACTATCTACGTGGCAGTCAATTCTCTGGCTTACAGATGTGTCATAGGCCAGCTGTCCAGCCTCTGGCTTACAGATGTGTCATAGGCCAGCTGTCCAGCCTCGTATCTCAATAGACTTAAAGCAGCTAAGCTGATGTTAAAAACAGTGTGCTGAGCCTATAGAAGGATTCAGATTTTTCTTTAAAAAAAAAAAAAAAAAATGTGGTTTTTTTTTTTCCTTCCCATGATGGACACTGGAAATGCCTTTAGATATAGTTAGCTGGTTTAGAAACTATTTATTAGATATTCATCCTGCAAACGAAAAGTCTACATTATTTTACAAGTGAACACAGCATGAAGCGAACATGAAGATTAAAGTGCTTTGGAAGCATAGCTTAGCCTTTCTTAAAGTTTATGCTCATTTCCATATTGTAACCTGTATTCTATGATAAATATCTGAATTAAACTGAATCAACCAGATGAGCCTCGGGCTGGTCCTGATTAGATTCAAGTCGGCCGACAGGTGACCTCTTCTTCATTTTCACTATTTTGCTCACTTATCTTTCATAAGGCAAGGGAAAGGCTTATTATTGTATACTATCGTGCACTGACAAAGCTCAAATAATTTATATGCCAAGACTCCACTTGAGATAGTGGCTCTATACCTTCAGCCCTAATAACAATATATCCTTCCAATCATATCTCATCTGTCAGCCAACATGAAGCCGCCACACAATGTTAATGTGTGTGCAACAGCTGCCCCCAGCCCAGCTTGGCCGTTAGCCTCCTCCTACAATCATTTGACCTACACGGATTCTTTGTTCACTGCTTAACCCATTCACACAGAATGGAATCAAATTGTATTCTGTAATTCCACACATCAACAAGCTGCTGGAAACACCCATGCCATCTCACAGAAAGGCTACGCAGCTGTTTCATGAACGACAGCACAATTAAAGCTAATATAAAAATAATTTAAAAAAAAAAAGTCCCTTTTACTGTACAGTCTCAAGTAAAGGAAGCTAAGTGATAGTTTTGCTAGCCAAAAATTGTGTTACTATTCATGTGGGCTTTGCAGCTCTGTGTACCTCACACTTCTGTGCGTATGTGGTTATGAGTGTGTAATCTACGCAGTGTAGTAGCCTCTAATTGTTTCATCTAGTTTGCCTAATCATTAAGCTACTTAACCGATTAGAATACTATTATATCACATTGAACAACTTTACATAATTGCGTCTTTGAAATATTAGGAACATCGACACATTTATTTGGCTTGTAGAGGACTGAAATATTACAGATAACATAGTCTAGCTTTCTCTTTCTTTATTTTTAAATATGGCTCTTAATACATTGACTTTCCAAGTTCCCACGTGAAAGTCACTTTAAAAATTGATGAAGCTTACTTGAAGTAGAGAGGTTCTTTTCTGATTTGGTCAAATGTATGACAGGTGTTTGACAGCACTTAAAACTTAGGGGTTAATCTACACAGGCCCTTTGTGGTCAACTATTTTCAACCTATTATGAAGTGTGTTTGTTGAAGTTTCTCACTCGGCCAGCAGAGGGCACTTCACATGCCTCTGCATTGCTTAGGGAGCAAATGCAGAAGACGCAGAAACACAGTGTTTACCCCAAATTAGGCAGAGCCCCACAGATCTGTTTTTGAAAGTCACAGAAACATAGAAAGCATGGGACTGTGTCACGGGGCTTCATTTGGAAAGCCAGGATTATGCGTGAAGTCAAACAAGGAGGGAGGAACGTATGGTCTGTCTCCTGGAGGATTCAGCTCCGGTGTCTTCCCATGGTCCTTCCCATTTTCAGCTCAGTGGTGATTGGCTGAGTTTCATTAAAGACAGTACAAGATTCCATCTTCAAGTCAATTGCTTGAGCTCGCATCCTTTCAACTCTGCATTTACTCTTCTCTTCTGTCCTAAAGCCAGAGGCAACTGAACAAAGGATGCCTCATATCTCACCAAAGAGCAGAAATAACAGTTGTCGATGTGACGCTTCAACTACAGGGTCTGCCATGGGGACCACCTTCTTGGCATTTGGGACGCATGGTTTCCACTCTCCTAGAAATAAAGTTTCACGAGAAAGTACTGTCCTCTGTTTGGTTGTAGCAAACTCAGTAGCCTGAGGCTGTGCAGTGAAGGGGAAACTATCTACCTTTTTAATTTCAGCTGCAGTAAAAATAATTAAGACATCTTTTGTCAAGGGGCTACAAGCTAACCTTTCTTTAAAAGGCCTTGATTTTTTTTTTTTGCAAAAGCATTGTTGTTCTAGATAGAAACCCTGTGACTCTTCCATGTTTATCTTTTCTACCAGTTCTGGTGTCATGTTGAAAAGACAGAAAGGACTGTGTGTGTGTGTGTGTGTGTGTGCTCGCATAGTTTGAAAAGGGGAACTCCTTTATCCTTAGAGAAAAATAACTCTGAATCGACGTTCCCCCTCTCCCCATAGCGTTTTGTTTTCCACTAATCTCTCTGCCCGTGGCTCCCTTTGGATCAAGTGTGTTCTAGAGTTGACAAGTAAGAGGGAAGGGGTCCCTCAGCAGCAGTACTTTGAGATGGAGATGCGCTCAGTGAGTCCTCACCCAAAAGGATCATAAACTTACTGGGTTAAGTCAAACTAATCATTGTTCCCAAGCTGCCTCGGGTTTTGTGTCTGCTCATACGTATGGTTTGTTTTAGCTGCACCATGTGATTCCTTGTGCCATTTTCTTTTGTCTATTATTTTTCATGATGACCCTGAGCTATGTCTTCCTCCTCGGTTCTGACACTATTCAGCCTTCGTTGTCTTCTTCACTTTGCCGATGTAGGCCTCAAAGAAGAAATGGCAGAAGAGCACAAGGTAGCTGAGGTACATGAGTGAGGACCAGAAGATGTTCTGGAAGTGGGAGTAACACTGGTCATTGTCATGCTGCATCCAGTTGAAGACCAGGTAGTTAATGACACAGCCCATGAGCATCTGAGTGATCTGGGATAAGGTGATGAACATGGCAAACTTCCGGGACACTCGGAAACCCGCAGCCCGCAAGGCATAGTAAGAGTACATGACGGCATGCACGCCGTAGTTCATAGTCATGAACCAACCACCCCCAGCCACCATGTCTTTGTAGGAGTACCAGGAGTACAGCAGCACGGTGATGTGGTGGTACCAGTGCAGGAAGATCAGCTTCTGTTTCCTCAGAATGATGAATATCGTGTCTCCTGGAAGACAGAGATGGGAACAAAGCTACGTGAGGCCCAAAGCTGGCTCTGGGAGGAGGGGGCGGGGTCTTCAGCAAGCAAGGCAGGCTACTCTTCAAGGTACTCAGCAGAAAACCTTAGCGATTTCTCATCTGACACGAATAATGGCAACCAGACCCAACCATTCATGACCAAAAGAGGACAGGGGACTGATCTCAGAGCAAGTGTGACCAGGAAGCAGACTGGGGTGCAGACTTGAGTGCCCAACAGAATGCTCTTAGGCTTCTCGAGAGTAACCATAATTACCTTATATAGATAAAACAAACAAACAAAAACAAAACAAACAAACAAAAACAGCCCTTGCCAGCCTTGGTGCATGACTTTAATCCCGGCACTCAGGAGGCAGAGCCAGGCAGATCTCTGTGAGTTCCAGGCCAGCCTGATCTACAGAACTAGTTCCAGGACAGACTACAAAACAATACAGAGAAACCCTGTCTAGAAAAACCAAAATGAACAAAGAAAAAAAAAAACCAGCCCTCAAATGTATCTTGTGATCTCTCTGTAAAACATGGAGTGCGTGTAAATGAAAAAAATACAATTCAGGATAGGAGATGTAGCTCTTGTGGTGGCAGAAGAGTTGGCCTAACACTGGCAAGGCCTGATCTCAATGAACCAAGTGAGTAAAACCTGGAAACAAGACTTAATTGTATGACATGACTATGTCTAGAATGTCAACTTTTTCCAGAACAACTCTCTATGGTATCAAGAAAAACAAAACATTGGTTTGAAGTAGGCAATTTATATAAAAGCTAGAGCTATGCTCAGGTGAGTAGCTGTTCTCTCTCTGCAATGCTTTTGAGAAATACACTACATAGAACATTTATGGGGGGAAATTGGATTAAAAAAAGCGAGTCGCAACAGATTCACACAGGTAAATGCGGCTTACTGCCCCATCTCTGTAGTGATCCGATATGGTGTAATCGTCTTCATGTCTGCAGTACAAGAACCAAGACTTGAATTTGGATCCCTAGCACCTTTGTAAAAAGCTGGGCTTGTTGGTAGGTGCCTGTTATCCCAGCTGGGGAAGAGGAGAAAGGTTGATCCCCGGAGCTCACTGGCTCCAGTAAGCTCCAGGTTCAGCAGGAGACCCTGCCTCAAAATATGAGGTGGAGAGTGGGTGAAAAAGACACCTGAAGTTGACTTCTGATCAACACATGCATATTTATGAACATGTCCCTGCACCCACTCATATATCAACATGAATGTTCACATGTACAACACACTTAACACATCTTTCACAAATATGACTATTCTCTTAATACCAATTGGAACTGGAAATTTGTTCTATTTTGAGATTCTATTTCAGACAAATGGAACAAGTACACACACAAGTATTAGCCCTTGCGTACTTAGTGGATGGCCTAGAGTTCCTGGTACAGACAAGGCCAAGTAATGCTGGGCCTTGGAAAGTCCCAAGGTTCTGATGGCTACAGTTAGTTGCACTACTACAGGTAGTGTCCTGTTACATTTACCAGGAGCTGTTACTTTATTTCCCTACTGAATTATTAAACACAATTTCTTCATATTTGTTTAGAACAGAAAGTAAAGTTGTCAGTGGAAACATTTCTCAATCTATTATGAAACTTCCATTGAAATCCTCTGGTCTCTTGTGAGACACTGGCTTTTATTATACCTATAAATGTCAGACAGGCTAAAAAATGACAGATGGCGATGGCCACTCTCATGTGTATACTTAGAGCCAAATTCTACTTCATATTAAGCTATACTATTTTGGCTAGACTGTCAAGAGTCACCATTTTTGTACAATCACTGCTCTGTGCCATCCTTCCCTCTTTGGACTATAATGTAGGACACAACCACTCTAGTCTATCTTTGTTAGTAGTGGAAAGAAGAGGGAAGTCTAAGGAATTTCATGTTCCAAGCAAATTTAGCCAGTCCTAATCAAAATATTTTAATGAGTCTCTTAACATTCATAAAAAGTATCCACCTGATACAATACCCAACTGTAATAAAAGCAATCTGCCATAGAGTAATAGGCACTTCATCCTATCTAACTCTTCAGCTGTCATTCTGTCATCACTCTTACATGAGGACCATCTGGTCTACCTGGACAGTGTGGGAATGGAAGCAGGACCTGTCTAGAGAAGGGGTGTGTTATGTTGAGTGTCTCAGGAGGTGTAGCTACTTTGAGAGGAAAGCAAGTGAGGAGGACCAATCTGTCATGAAATCTTGAAAACAAAATCCACCTGACTTTACACTGAGTCTTTTAGAGCGCGTGTTCAGGATGGTAAGGGATGAAGGATTCTCAGCAGCTCTACTCAAAGACAAGGTTATTGTCCCCAGAAATGGTGGTCTCCCATAAAATACTATGGTAAGATTACATTAGAACTTGACCTCTATTGCTCTTGCTACCACCATATAGTGACACAGCCACACTTTCTGATGCAAATATGGTTCTTCTGTCCATCTTCATCTATCCCCGTTTTTCCAAGTCATGCCAAATCATGGAATTTGTAGGAGTGGCAGAAGCTATAGAGGACTAGGCTTCTGCAAGGGCTTTGATGGGATTGATGCTGGCCAGCCAATCTTCTTGAGCAAACATTCCTTGGTATTTATGGAACTGGTACTACCAACTATAAGGGAGAGCACTTTGAGCTCTTGAAGGTGTCTGCTTTGTTAGTACTTTTGTTACCCTCTGACTCAAGTTCCTGTTTTCGGTGACCCCTAAAACCATTGGCCCAGCCCTTTTCAACCAAGAGACGGCTAGCAGACAAGACACGATGCTTCTTGTACCCAAGATCTCTGTATGCCTATGGAGAAGTCAGTCAGCACTTCCTGGGCAGTCATAGCCACCAAAAGACATGTTGAGCCAACTCTGCGTGTGTGGCTTGTCACAGATGGCTGAGCTCCTCTCAGCAGAGTTAGCTGCTGTGCTGCTGAGTCAGGGCCACGAAACAATGACAAGCTCAACTGAGCAAGGGCCTAGACGCAGAGCAGATGTTTCCAAGTCTTAACAAAAGCAAATCTCAGCAGGTTTTAATAGAATTCAAACCGTAGGCACTGGCAATTTGGCACACAAAGTAGAGGGGGCAGCTCTCTTGCTCACTTGTTCCAGTAGAGAGGAGTCCTTTAAACCTTTTGAATCCACCATTTCTGCTGAAACAGAGAGCCCTTATTACCATCATTAAGAGTTTAGTGAAGCAAAGTCAGTGGTGAGTGAGTACACTTTCAGCAGGGGGAGACAGAAAAGTTCCAGAAATAAATGGAGTAATGGCTACACCACAATGTGAATATTATGCCTATTTAACCGCCAGAAGTAAAGAAGAGAATGGTGAAAACTATGGATGTATGCAAATAGTTTCACTATTGTACTATATGGTGTGTGTGTACACATTCCTACATGATCTTTCCCTTTGGTATTCATAAAGAATTCCACAAATTTCTAATACAGAAAGGTAGAAGGTAAGACCTAAAGATAACCTGTAAGTAATTTTGTCTTTCTTAATCAAATGATGATAAGACTCCCCGATTGCAAAAGATTACTAGTTAATTTAACTTCAAAACTCATAGGCAAACAAACTAAGTAAGTGCTGAGGCTGGTTTTGGGGACACCAGTTTGAATTTTTAGACCTGTGACACTCAGCAGCTGACCTCTTCAAGGACACTGTTACATAAGCTGTAGAGTATTTGGAGACACTGTTCCATATTTTTTAATTAAGAGAGCATTGGCAGATCTTAATATATTCCTATGAAGGATCTGGGACTGTATGAAGAATGTGCCATCATTAGAGAAGTGGCAGTCTTCATTAGGAAAGAGTTTCTATGTTAGTCCACATAAGCAAATTCAACAAGAATTGTGTGAACCTACATCTGAATCCTGAGAACTCATAGAAAAACTGGATGTGTTGAGCAACTGTCTAATGGAAGAGGTGGAGACAAGCCGGGGGGGGGGGCAGCTAGCATGGTGTGCACACTAGAAACACAACAGCGACCCTCTCAAATGGGAAGGGCTCAACACCCAAGACTGTCATCCACACTCCCAATGCACATCATGGCCTGTACATACATGTGTACACACACCAGACTCTCTCTCTCTCTCTCTCTCATTTTCCTGGGACCTGTTCCTAGTCTTCATATTGTAAAATTCTGTGTCAAGTAGCTTTGCATTCTAATAATAGGCGCTTATTATATAAATTCATTGACTGACTAAATCTATATTAATGCATTCACTCTGAGTTTGTGTTCATTCATGGTGCTATGTGTGTATGTGCCTGCCATGTGGACACACAGTTCATTCTGCATCATGTAGAGACCTGGATTTTTTTTAATCCTCACAGAAAGGTTTGTAAAGCTTTTTGCTACTCTTCCTTAGTCCCTGATCTAGGAAGACATCCATCAATCCCACCGCCAGCTACTTGTAGGCAGCAGACTTAATAGTATATTGTGGTAAATGGCTCAGCTGCTCCCCAACACACTGGGGAGAACTCATGGACAAGTTACCAAGAACTCGGACAGATTGTAGAAGTCCTGTGATGAACCTACAACCTCTTGCCTACCTACCCCTGGCCTTATTTTTCCCGAGACAGGGTTTCTCTGTATAGCCCTGGCTATTCTAGAACTCACTCTGTAAGCCAGGCTAGCCTTGAACTCAAACATCTGTCTGTCTCTGCTGGGACTAAAGGCATGTGATACCACCACCAGGATCTGTCACCTATTTTTAAAGATTAAACAATGAACGAATGTGCCTTTTAACTCCACAATTCAGATATTTGAACTGAGGGCACATAGTTATTAATCCCAGGTTAGAGATATTAGGAATCTCAGTGTGAAGGTGACCTGTCTTCCTCAAGCATCTCTACCAGTTTTTGAGGACATGGCGGTTATTGGAGGATTCACTCAGCCCACTCTCACCAATGGATCCCTTACTCTGGCAATGAGAACACATTCCCAGAGACCTGTGCCCATACCAAGTCCTTACCACTGTCCACACTTCTGCAAACCTATGCCACCCCTCCTCTCAGAACCACTAAAAGAGAGCAAAGAAATATATAGCCAAGCAAGAATTTCCACTAATTTCTGGCAGGTGCCCCACATTTCCCCAGGGCCAGACTCGGGGATGAAAATAAACTCAAACAGCAGAACTCAACTGTTAGCATTTCTTAAGGAGAACACGAACCCCAGAACTGAAGCTTCATTTCCCAACCTGAACCCTGACTCCAGAAATGAACGTCTGCTTATCTCCGTGACTTGGAAAGTGCTGCGTTGTTCATTTTTTTCCCTTATTTTAATATTAGTTCAGCTGTTAATGGACCTTTGGACGTGTGGTATTTTATAAATCCCCGAGAGTGGCTTATTTTTAGTTAGTGCTAGGAAACTGGCATTCAAAAATGTGTTTTCTATCAATATACATAATACACAGTTACTTAAAAAGGAGGGAGCAGACGGGTGAGGCAGTGGGCAAAAATCTTCAGTTCATGTAGTCTAGCTTTCCAGTGACCAGCAAAGTGTTTCTTTGTTTACTCTGAGTGAGCCCGGTGAGGCTGCTGGGGGTGGGGGAGGGTGGTGGTTGGACACACGGGGTGGGAGACACCTCGGGGTGCGGGGAGACACTCACCTAGTTCAGGTGCTTTGCTGAGTACAAATGCATACGCCCAGAATTTGCTGACAGGTCCAATGTAAAAACTCTGGTCACAAACTGACTGCTTCAGGCCTTTGGTCATCAGAATGTACACCATGTAAGCACCAGTTCGAAGAGCACCAAATATACTTCCATTAGGAAAAGAAAAAAGAGAGAGAAACAATGGTTAGGGCAGAAATTTCACTGATGACATTAACCTGTTATGGTGGGAGCGTGAAATGTCTCCACAGGCTGGTCCCCAGCTGGTGGCCTGTTCTGGAAGGTACTGGGACCTTTATGAGATAAAGCCTCTTAGGAGAGAAAGTGCTTCCCTGGAGGTGGCCTTGAACTTTGCACAGTCACACTTACTGTGGTCTCTCTGCCACCCGACAGTGATGGAATATTATCAGCTTCCTAACGCTTCTCCTGCATCCCTCCTTAAAAGTGTCAGGGAAATGGGCCCGCCCTCCCTTGTTCCTTCTTCTTTCTTACAGCAATGCGAAAAGTAACCGATGCAACCACACTTAGAAGACTGGCCGGCCACTGGCAAAAGCAGGCCGAGGAGACTCCGGGTACACAGTTACCTGGGTGCCCTTTCAAGCGCCCCGTAAAGGAACTACAACCATTTGCTTTTCATCACTGTCCCAGAATGAGGTCATGGAAAAGAAGACTCAAGCCACACCAGGACCTTATGAGGAACGGCTTGGTTTCCGCTTGGGAACTATTTCACGGACACGAGACAGAATAGCTATATGTCCTTGGCAATGCCTCAGTTCTATCTGTCATTTTCCAGGTCCTGTTGGCTCTCTTCCCTGAAGTCTGTTAGTGTCCTTAAGCTAACTCAGCCTCCACATCTGGACCAGATGCCTTGGTTCCCACAGCAGGATCCAAGCCGCTGGTCCTGGCCACCTCTTGCTCTGTGATCATCTGTCTCAACCCATCAGAACAAGTGTCTTCTAGGTTTACCTCCACTACCAACCCTTCTAGTAATTCCACCCACCATGGGAGAGATAAGTATCACCCAACTGTGTATACCAACTACCAACACACTTCTTCGATATGCTTGCCTCTTCACACTCATAGATCTGCCACAGATGTCAAAAGGGGAAAGGTTTTTGACAATATAAACATAAACAAAAAACCCATTTAAACTTGTACCTGATAAGGAAACAGAAGCACTTTTGGAACATGATGATTTAATAATGTAACTGGAAACATGAAAGGACTTGACTATTGGAGCAAGGAGATTCCATTGTGAGTGAATCCCTCATAGCCGCATCTCTAAATGTAGTGTCCCTAATTGCAATACATACTGTCACTTTTTGGTTACAGATCCAATTTACTCCTGCAGTAGTTCTCTGCACCTGGAACCCCTCCCTAGTCTTCACCAGGAATCACGTAGCCCTGCGGGGCTTCTTTACCGCTAACCTCCACCTACTGATGTTCTTGCCAGCATTATTGGACACTTCCTGTTCTCTCCTCAGGACCCTTTGCATACTCCTCCCTCCTGTCTGTGTCCATTCCAAGGCTGGATCCCATTCCTTTGAAATCTCAGAGGCGGCATCTCCGTATTTACAGTCTAACAGCCCTAATTTAGAGACAGTAATTTGCACTTCATCAGTCCAGTTGGATAATGAAGATTTTCATAACCAGTTTCCCTTTACCCTTTCTTCACTAGTTGATGATTCCAACTTCTCCAAATTAAGATTTTACATCACTCTGCTGTGTTGGAAAGTACCAGAGAAATAGATGTGTCATCCAATGGTCTGATAAGAGTCGAGTACCTCCCTGTTCCATAGAGTCCTTTGTTCAGGATGTTCCAATAGCTTATTCTAAGACAATCAAACACCTTATCTGTAGTTTAAGAGCAATCATGAATTTTCAGCCCAGTTTTACTTCCCCTGTTTCTCATAGCAGAGACTGATTAGGCTACACATTTGGCCAATTCTAGCCAATGTAACGTGAGAAGTCTGCTTTGGGTGGAGAAGAGGATTCTTTGCTAATTTCCTTTGAAAATGCAGCAGGCATTTTGCAGCCCTGAGAAAAAAGTCAGCTCAGGATAGCAAAACAGTGGCTCTGGACATGGCTGAGCTGGTGAACAAAATCAAGTTTCAATTACCCTGCCTCAAACTTCTTGCATTTAGAACTAAATCTGCATTGCACGAGCCATTTGGAAATCCTCCTACCTATTACTTGCAACCCAAAGCCAGAGGCAGGTACAACACATGGATCTGATTTTCCAATGACTGGTTTTTGTTTAGTTTGTTTTTTAACAGTCTGTGAAGAAATCACTTCTATGGCTCAAAATGCAGTATTGCTGGTATGGTAGGTATATATTCTATCAGTTATATCAGTTACCTCTCATCATAAGCCAGTAGGGAGAGCTATTATGACTTTTGTCAGGGTGAAACCTAGTTCCCCAGGTCATGTGAAAATCCCACTTCTGACATCAGATATTGAAGCACAGATTAAGATACACGGGACGAGGTTAAAATATAGGTTAATTTTATTTGGGGAGAAGTCACTTACATAAGAAACCGATGGCCCACAAGTTCCCTCTCCAAGGAGCCACACCCAGGCTGCTCTCCATGACCCGACTGGAACCAGGAGAGAGCGAGCTGAGGTCCAGGACCCCAGACCCAGACCGGTCACCACACCCAAATGGGTGGGGTGGATATTTCACTACAGAAACACATGATACCATTCAAAACACACTGGATAGACCTAGGACTTTCTGTAAAAGAATATTTTATAAAGGATAATCTTCCCATCATATCCAGCCCATCATACATACTCATGTGGCCCTAAGATGCTCTCTACTGTACTTAGCCACCAGACAGACTGCAAATCCAAACCGATCTTTTTAATCTTGGAAGCATCTGTAGTTTATTCCTAATTTCTAACTGTTAACAATTAAACTTAATTCCCTCAGTTGTTAAATATTTAGCACAGTGGTTGACTTCATCGATAAGGCAGACATGTGACCATCTCCAGACAATGTTGTGAGGCTTGTTTTGGGTTGGGAATGGTTTTGTTGCTCTGAAACCACAGACACTTTGCTGGCATTTGAACTGGGGGGGGGGGGGTAAATAGTTATTGACAGGGTTGAATGTTAGGGCCTGGGAAAATCACTGCAGAGAACTTTTTACATCATGATGACCCACAATACTGCTGACAAGTACACAGCACATATTGTCTCATATCTGGACACAAGCCTCATCCCTTGAGCTCTGAACAATGAGGCTGACTCAGAACTGAGGACAGTGGCACTTGAGGGACCATGTCAGTGCCAGCCATTGGGCCCATGTGCTCATGGCCAAAGGCTCATTGTTGGGCTATGACAATGCTAGTGCTGGGGGGAAATTAGAGCTGCTCAGCCAGTAGGTGACTACCACCCGTGGGATGTCACTAGCTCTGCCTCTGCCACATCTCAACCATGTGTGTTTTGGAACGGGTGGCTCTGATAACAGCATCGTGCTGTGACACATGACTAAAAATACTGCAAGGTGAGACCTCTTTCATCTGTAAGTTGCATTGCTTCTGGACAGCCGTGAAAGTGCAGCTTTGGTCCCGTGACCACGCTTCTCTGGTAGGGTTGGTAGGCCTGGCCTATCCCTCTCTGGGACACATGACTAGTCCTTTTCATAAAGAAACATTCTATCCACACGGCAGCTGAAGTTCAAGTCCTCTGAATCTACAGAGCAGCAGCCATTGTTCTCTTTGAACCCTTCCTAGAGAGGTTCTTGTGGCCTGCAGGGGTCGCTGTTGAGAGCATGCTGCCAAGGGGCTCTTGAGGGGCAGAGGGCAACCTGGGGCACACTCTATACCTAGCTGGCACAGGCTCCCTGCTCTCTTATCCAGACTGCAAAACATGTGTCTGCCAGCTTTCCACCATGTATACCAATGAACAGTCTGGAAGAAAGGCTGCTGGCATGAAAAAGAAACTGATTCCAGTGCATGGTATCTTTAGTCAGCTGACAAAGACTATTCCAGGGGTCAGGTGACCCAAGAGTTGGGGCAGTACTGCTTAATGTGGACAGATGACCATCACAGTAATGCCTTTTCTACACAAACGTGGCACTCACATACTTAGTTACTTATTAGTTCCGAAGGCATATGCTTTCCCTCACAAAGCCTAGCTTTGCTGTTAATGGTGATGGGAAAGCAGAGCATGCTGGGAAGGGAGGAGTAAAGGTCTCTGCTTAGCGGAGGGAGGTGCTGCCTCTGGCCACCTTGTAATGAAGGGGGTTTTGACTTTCCATGACAGACTCCAGGAATAGCTAGTAAACACTAACTTGAGAAGGGTTATCGAGGGAACCACGTTCTTTCTAACCCAGGTATATACATCCAGTATTGCTTAGTTTTCAATAAGCACATATTAGACTGATATTTTTTAAAAACACTACTAAAGTGGGTGACTGGAAATCACTGACATCGCATAAACACTAACAAAGGTGCTAGCAACAAGGCTTAAAAGTGCTCACTGTGGAGGTGGAATAGTAATGACCCTGTGTTTTAAATACAAACTGTCATGGGGGAAGGGGGTGGGGTGCTGGGAGGAGAGGAGGGAGGGGAACTGCAGTTGGTATGTAAAAATAAAAACAAATAAATATGAGCCAGCACTAGGATTCATTTACTGATCCAACATTTAGCACCAAGCATCTGATACTGCAGTACTCACGGGGGGTGGGGGGCAGAGAATCGCTGTAACATATGGTGGGTGATGCAGACTCATAAAACACACACATACATGAATGCGTGCAAGTGTGCACAAAACAACAGAAAAGATAGTACGGAGTGGGTGTGGCCAGGATTCTTCTTTGGATGGTAGAAGATTTACAATAAAAATTTAGAAAAACTTTGCTTTTAGCTTATGTTAGCTTGAAGATGTATTAGGGTCCTTTAAAAAGTATAGCATGTGTAGCCTTTTGCATAAATAGATAGAAATGGTCTGATCAGATTCCTTTTTAATATGCTTACAATAAGCAGATGGAGCTATCTCATGTTTTTGAACAAAAATGCTATTTATAAGGGTTACGTGCAGTAGGGTAAATCAGTAAGTGGTGTTATTTGAACCTTGTTTTGGAGTTGACCAGTTGCTTTTATTCCAAAGTCATTGTGACCTGTTATATACAATGCTTTAAGAAAT